ATCATCATCATCATCATCATCACAATCACCATCACCATCACCATCATCATCATCATCATCATCATCATCATCATCATCATCATCATCATCATCATCATCATCATCATCATCATCATCATCATCATCATCATCATCCGCCTCCTCCGCCTCCTCCTCCGCCTCCTCCTCCTCCTCCTCCACCGCTTCCTCCTCCTCCGCCTCCGCCTCCGCCTCCGCCTCCTCCTCCTGCTCCTCCTCATCCTCCTCCTCCTCCTTCTCATCCTCCTCCTCGTCCTCCTTCTCATCCTCCTCATCCTTATCATTCATATCTTCCTCCTCCTGCGCCTCCTCCTGCTCTTCCTCCTCCTCCTAATCATCAGCATCATCATCATCATCAGCAGCAGCATCATCATCATCAGCAGCATCATCAGCATCATCAGCATCATCAGCAGCATCAGCATCAGCATCATCAGCATCATCATCAGCATCATCATCAGCAGCGTCATCGTCATCGTCATCGTCATCATCATCGTCATCGTCGTCGTCATCTTCCTCCTTCTTCTCCTCCTTCTCCTCCTTCTCCTGCTCCTCCTCATCCTCCTCATCCTCTTCATCCTCATCCTGCTCCTCCTCCTCCTCCCTCTCCTCCTCCTCCTCCTCCTCCTCCTCCTCCTCCTTCTCCTCCTCCTCCTCCTCCTCCTCCTCCTCCTCCTCCTCTTCCTCTTCCTCCTCTTCCTCCTGCTCCTCCTCCTCCTCCTCCTCTCCTCCTCCTCCTCCTCCCCTCCTCCTCCTCTTCCTCCTCCTCCTCCTCCTCTCTCCCCCTCCTCCTCTCCTCCTCCTCCTCCTCCTCCCTCCTCCTCCTCTTCCTCCTCCTCCTGCTTCTCCTCCTCCTTCCTCCTCCTCCTCCTCCTCCCCCTCCTCCTCTTCCTCCTAATCCTCGTCTTCATCCACCCTTGATCCTCCTCTACCCTCCTCCACCCTCCACCCTCCACCCCACCCCATCCCCGCTGATCTCACCGTACTCGATTGCCCCCTCCCACCTCGCTGTTCTCCCCCTTCTTCGGAGGAGGAGAAAAGGCACCCATGCCGCTGCCCCTGCCTCGTGTTCGCCCTTGTTGTGGCTCATGGGCGCGCCTCGTTGCCACCGCTGGATTCGCCTCGAAATTCTGGTCAGAAGGCACCCCGGGAAAGGTCTGGGGAGTAGCGGCATCGGTACCTTTTGGTTTCGACATTGCCCCTCTTCGCCTGCTCGCGCTGGAGGCGAGGATGGGGGGGCTGGGAAGGGATGCAGGCATACGCAGATCGGATAAGTTGGCGAGATCGGCCCGTTCAGGGCGGCGCTGGGTCCAGGCTTCGGCGGCGCACGGAGGGGCACGTGAGAAGGGCAGGCCTTCTCTCAGCAGGCGGCGGGGGGCCTCTCAGAAGTCCACCAGGCCTCCGAGAAGCCACATGCGGCCTCGGAGAAGGCTCACAGTGCGTGAGCCGTCTGGGAAGGCCCGCCCCTTCTGCCTTGCCTACTCCCTGGGCGCGCCGCCGCAGGGTGGCCTCCAGACTCTGGGCCTGACCCCCGAAGCCCACCACGCACGGAAGTACAGCCCAGGTCGGGTCGAGATTTAAGTCGGGCACGTCCCATTACAGGAGGAATATTCAAAAAAATGAGCCATTTAAAACAAAAAAGTCAGGGGACGATTTTTCGACCATGCTTGCCTGTTTGTGAGTCTCTATCTCTCCTCCAAAACCCGCTTGTGGGAGGACACGCCTGGCCTGAATCGAGATGGGTTTCTCTCGTTGCGTCTCTCTGCGGCGGCCCCGCCGGCCGGCCCCCGGCTCTCCCTCCCGCGCTCTCGCGGCTGCTGCGCTGGGCGGCGCTGTCCTCCGCGGCGCCCGTGCTGCAGCGCGGCTCCTCGGTGCGCGGCGTGTTCCGCTGCAGGCGGCCGTCTCTACGGGGCCAATCTCAGGGGCAGCGCTAGGGAGGGGTAGGCTCGGGGGGGAGACCCATACGCGGAGGGAGGCCAGGAGGAGGAGGAGGAGGAGGAGGAGGAGGAGGAGGAGGAGTAGGAATGAGGAGGAGGAGGAGGAGGAGGAGGAGGAGGAGGAGGAGGAGGAGGAGGGAGGAGGGAGGAGGAGGAGGAGGAAGAGGAGGAGGGGGAGGAGGAGGAGGAGGAGGAGGAGGAGGAGGAGGCGGAGGCATCGGCCCCAAATCGCCCACTCATCGCCGACATTGGCCGGAGAGCCCAGCCGGCCCAGGAGCGTGCGGAGTCGTTTTCGTTTGTGGGCGCCCTTCGCCGATCTATCGGCGACGTGTTGTTGATTCAAGCTCGATGTTTTCCCCCTGAGCTGGTCTCTCCCTACCGTTCCCTCTCATCTACAGGGACAACGCACCGTCCCTGGGGTACTGCACGGCCGGCTACCCGATTCGAGGCTTTTTGAGTCTCCGAGGCATGGTCTTGTTGGGACGATTCTTGCTTCTCATTTCTACCCTTATGGTTGTGGTGTAGTACCAGTTAACCGGGATAGCAGAGTGGGCGTCGCAATCAATCGGGGCGTGGGGCATTTTTCTTCCGTGTCATTGCATGATTGGTAAGCCTTTGTATGTTCCTTGTTGCTTGGCATCCACGAAAAGTTGTCATGAATACGCCCGTGACCTCGTTCCAGGTTATTCGCCGTGTGAGATGCACAAGCGTCACAGAGACGTCAAATTGGCAAGAAATCCAATATCCGTGCTCGAGGGGGCCTCATCGTTTCAGCGCCACCATCTTCCCCTGGAAGGTAATTCACCTGCAGGGCCGGGATCATCGAATCGAGGAGTTCTCAGAGCCACATACAAGTAATTATTCGCCCCCTTTTCGGCTTGTTCGGCGAGAGCTCCACTTTCCCGTGCTCCTGCCACTCTCATACCGTTATCTTCCCTGTCATCTCTCCTGCTCTTTCTGTTCAATCCCTGGCGGCAGTGCTGAACCCCTATCTCTGCATGGGTGTTGTGTCTGGGGGCCCCGGGCTTGGGGAAAGACCTGTCGTTTGGGAGTCAGCGTCTGCCAAGTGAGCAGTGGCAGAGCTTGGCGGGTAAAGCCGCCTCAGAGGGGGGGGAGGCCCAGACGGGAGTCGCGGGCATAGGCCTCAGCAGGAAATTGTCCAATCGGCATGGGTAGAATTTTGAGGCCGCTCCTGAAGTTCAAGGGACGCTGTAAGGAACTACTGCGTAAGTACCACGAGGGGGGTACACATAAGGAGCAGTGGAGCAGTTGCTGCAATTGAGGCGCAAGTGCTTCAACTGGCGACGTAGATGCGACCCGGTAACAGAAGCGGGCTTCTGAGTGGGGTTTTCTCGCGAGCAGGGGCCGTCACCGGTCGTCGCCCTTAACACGGTTCAACACCGGCGCGAGGGGAAACGAAAGCGATGGTCAAGCTCGCTTGCCGGGACAGCAGACGCGAGAGGGTAGCAGCGGCCCCGCGGGCTGCAGGATGGCGGCCAGCCATGGAGGGCGAGCGATGAGGAAGCAAGAAGCGGGGCCCAGTCTTAAGTCGGGCATGTCCCTCTACAGGAGGAATATTCAAAAATAGTCCAAAAAATAGTATGGGGATGATTTTTCTAGTATGTTTTGCCATGTTTGCATATTTTGGGGGCATTTGCTATCCGTAAGGGCTTCGCCCCCTGCCGCCGGCCCCCTCTATCGGAAAATGGGCTACGCAAGAGCTAAATCATGAGGCCTCGGCGCCGCCGTGAAGCAGCATCGGCTTACGAGGGTTTATGGCTTCAGATACGCGGATATTGCGTAATGTGCAGGGGGTGTGGCTTCGGGGACGCGAATATTAAGCAATGTTCAATGGTTCATTGCATCGGGAACGCAAATATTTTTTCATTTACAATGGTTTATGGCTTCGGGAACGCGAGCATTGCGTGATTGTAGTCTCGGGGACGCAAGCATTGCTTAATTTACTAGGGTTTATGGCTTCGCGGACACGAATACAATATATTTTGCGAGGGCTCATGGCTTCGGGGACGCGAATATCGCGTAATTCAAAAGGGTTTATGGCGTCGGGGACGCGAATATTGTGTAATTTACGGGGGGGTATGGCCTCGGGGGCGCGGCTTCCATATATTTTTACGTGTCCCACGCCCCCCCCAGGAATTCAGAGCACGCGAGGCCGCCCGCGTCAGCGCGGTTCGCCGAGGGGCCCAGGCTGGAGCAGGTCTTCCTGCCAGGGATGTCGGCCGACCAAGCCCGAGAGTTCGACCGGCTCACAGCGATATACAGATTCCGCGCGGCGTTTTTCTCCGGAGGTTTGCGGCACGCATGTCTGAGAGGTTCTATGTGCGAGCGTCGTGCCGCTTGTCTCGTTCGTGAGCGTTTGCGCATGCGCGCGTTGCGATGCAGTTGAGGTCATCGCACGGCGATCGGCGCGAGGACAGGCAGGGGCGTCGGCGACCTGCTAAGAGCGCAAGGGCCACTTGAATAATTGCACGATGTCTGCGCGTGCCCCCGCACGGCGCGTCGCACGCACGCATCTGCGAATCGCGTCGCTCCCAGGCAGGACCCTTCCGTCCTGGATGAATCGTGGCCGACGTTGGGGCCGAGTGTCCAGGTAAGGGTCTGGCTTGATGCGAGGGTTGCCGCACGCCTGCTCCCCGCCCCGCGGCCCGCTCGGCGGAACCCACGCGCTCCGCCTCTGAGCCTCGGCTTCGGCCCTCTTGTGGGCCATCCAGGCGTCGAGCCCTTATTTTGTTCATGTCGTTGCCCTTCGCTTCGGCACTGCGCGCCACAAAAGCACGGCAGACCACGGCAGCATGGCAGACCAGAACGGCAGATCACGGGAGCACGGCAGGCCAGCTCGGCACATGTCAGGAGCACGGCAGGGCATCGGAGCACGGCACAACAGCATGGCAGACAGAGCGACAGCCGTTGAGACCCTTGGCAGCCCAGCACGACACACCACAGGAGCACGGCAGACCGGAACGACGGACCACACGAGCGTTGCAAAGTACCGCGCCCTCTGGGTCGGCCCAGAGGTGGCCTCGGGCTTCGGCACCTCAGTGGTGCCCCCTCTAGCCTTTATAGGACCCGCAGAACCAGAACCAGCATGGCAGATCACGGCAGCACGGCAGACCACAGGAGCACGCTCGACCAGCACGAAAAAAAACACATCCGCACGGCAGGCCACAACGGCGGACCACAGCAGCACGGCAGACCGGCACGGCAAACCCACAACAGCACGGCAGACTAGAACGGCACAGCACAGCAGCACGGCAGACCAGCATGGCAGGCAAGAGAAGCACGGCAGGTTAGCACGGCAGACCATAGGAGCATGGCAGACCAGCAGGGCAGACTACAAGAGCACGGCGGACCGCAGACCACAACAGCACGGCAGATTTCAAAGATTGCGGCAGGCCACAAGAGCACGGAAGACCACAGGAACATGGCATATTACAGGAGCATGGCAGACCAACAGAGTGAACCACCAGCAGTTGTCTCAGTCGTTTGTGATTCGACTTCAAGTTGTTCGACGTTTTTTGACAAGCTTCGTAGGCAAAAGCGACGTTTTCCGTTCTTGTCTGGTCAGGGTTATGAACATGGTTGTTTCGTTCGATCCTGTCTCTGTTGTCCTCATTTAAATATTCATTGGCTGACGCCCCACCGCCGACCCTTAGGGCGGCAGCAAGAGTGAAAAACGGAGTTTGCAGAATACGCTCGATTTCTGGGGAATCTTAGGGTTTCAGCTTCTTGAGATTTCGTCGGGGCGGTTGGCGGATCGCGGCTCTGCTCTTGGGCTTCTCTGGGCTCTCCTGGCAGCACTTTTGAGGCCTCCTGGGAGCCGTGTTGAGGCCTCTGGGGGCTTCTTTTGAGCCTCTCGGGGGCCTCGTGCGAGCCTCTTGGGGGCCTCGTGACGCCTCCTCCGGTTTTTTCGGGGCTGAATGCTCGAAATGTCCATTTGGATGCCCCCTCTGGGCCTCCTTTTGGGGCCGTCCTGGGCTGGGGCCCTCCTGGGCTGTTTTGGAGGCTTCTGGGGCCGTCTTGGGGCCCTCTTGGGCCGTCTTGGAGCCCTCTTGGGGGCCTCTCGGGCCATCTTGGGTCCGTCTTGAAGGCTTCTTGGGCCGTTGTGGGCCTCGTGAAAGCCCAAGGGGCGAATGTGCTAAAAATACATGTTTTGTCCCGAGGGAATGGGACGATTTTTGCTTCTGCATGGCCTCTTGGGACGCCTCTTGGTGGCTTCTTAGAGCGTTTTGGGGGCCTCTGGGGCCGTCTGGAGGCAATCTTGGGCGTCTTGGACCGATCTTTCGGCGACACGTAGCCCTCTTGGAGCGTCCGGGGTCCTTTTGGAGCCTTCTTGGCCCGTTTTGGGGCCCCCTGAGGCTCCAAGGGTGCGGCCGGCACTTCTGCCCCCCCCCCCCTCCAAACCGGCCAGACTTGGCTCCCAGGGGAAGGGCTTGGGGAGGGGGAAGCATCTCACACGCCGTGACCTTCAGGGGTCGACGGATTTTGGCTTCTCGGGAGCATCTTGCAGTCCTTTTGAAGTCCTCTTGGGACCCTTTGGGCGCGTCTTGGGGCCATATTAGGCCGTCTAGGGGCCCTCTTGGGTCGTGTAGGGGCGTTCCTTGACCGTCTTGGGCGCTTGGGGGGCAGCTCCGCGAAGTTCTCCGGAGCGTTTGGGGCGTTGCAACAGTCCCGGAGGCCCATTCCAGGAGTGGCCAAGAGCGCCCAAGAGCGCCCGGAAGCGCCCTGCTGAAGCAGCAGCACAGCTGTGTCCCGGATTCGGGGTGGTGGTAGATGCTATTTGAAGAAGGGAATCATCCCACCCGCCCGCCCGCGCCTTTGCTTGCAACGCCCACGCGGCGGCGATTGCGATGACTGCTTGGCGCTGGCTGGCTGGCACATCGCTGCGGCCGCACTAGCGCGCGCAGGCTCGCGCGCAGAGCGGCCGGCTAGTCTGGCGCGACCGACGCGGCCGCGGTGGCGCTCACCGTTGGGGACTTTCCACTGCGTCTCGCAGGCCGCGATGACGCGCAGGCACTTCAGTGCGAGTCGGTAAATCGGGCGGGCGCGATATTATCACGACGTCGACAATGGCAGACGCGATAACGACTGTAACGGTGTTGGCGACGACGATAGCGATGATGACAGCAAGGCCAATGACGGCGCCGATGTTGATCACACCGACGACGATGATGGTGTCCATGTGTCGGTGATGAACGCGCTGAAGGAATCTCGACATGCGCGCGCGGCCGGCGGGAGCGACTGGCCCGCATGGTATTGTTTGACAGGGATCGTGACCCCCTCCCCACCACGCGCGAGGGCGTTCGAATGATTTCGACATGCGCGCGCGAAAGACGCACGTTCGCTCGAATGTCATGAAAGTGTTGAGACGAACGTATGGTACTCCAAAAGTCGAAAGGCTCACGCATATTTTTTGATAACTCATGTTGCAAAACCAACAGTACAATTTTCGGGGCATTCGATGTTGAAATCATTGTGGCCTCTATTGCTTATGGAAGATTTCGGCACGTACGCGCGACGACGTTGGCGTGAATTCTTCGGACCCTGATTTGCAAGAGAATGCTGACATTGCATGTCACGCTGGAGATGTGACTTGCGCAAGTCACGGGCGATGCGTGCTTGATTTGGGCAAGCACACCCGTTGTTTTGCATTTCGTGCATACCCACTCGTCTTCATATCGACGTTGCAGTTATTACACGTCGTTGCCAATTAAGTGTGCGCGCTTTGACCATGTTGTCGTTTTCACGACAAGTGAAATGCGTCTGTCGAGCGCCATTCGTATGCACATGCCCGCGGCGCACGCAACACTTACAGCAGCATCCTTTCAGGGGGGAATATCCTTGAATACGGCTTTGAATGTGACGTCTGCCCATGTTCAACATTGTTCCCTAGCAGTTTCCCCTAGAAGGTTCAAATAAAAGTAAACATTGACCACACAAGAGTCCTCCATGGGGACAGGGGGCCCTCGACCGCCTGATCCAGCACGGTACAGCGCCGATTTCGTTAGAGTTCTCCTGGCAATTTATTCATGAACGTGCTCCCACCTCAGTGCTGGCTGCATCTCCGAGCCCTTCTGGCGCTAGGGTGCTCCGGCTGAAGGCCCTGCGCTGTGTAGGTTGAGCTGCGCCACTTCGTGGTGCAAGCCAGGCGTGGAGACATGAGCAGCACCAGAGCGGGCCGGCTGCCGCCCGCGTCCAGCCGAAGCATCGTGGAGAGTTATGTCACCCGCATGGCTTCGCAGCTCCCCGAGGACTTCGCGTTCGCGACCCTGGTGCCCTGGGGCTCGCCGCAAAAACCAAGCAGGCTCGCTGCGCCAGACGCCGCCCATGAGGGCCACTGGGACGCCACGGAGATCGCGTCGCTGGTGTCTGGGTGCACCCACTTGCTGGTGCCGTGCACATTCGAAACGCAGTACGAGAAGCGCATGGTAAAGAGCCTGTTGAGGCAGATCGAGCCGAACAACAGCTTTCGTGTGGCCCTGCTGCAGCTGCTCGAGGTCCCGGGCAACATGAGCCGGGAGTATGTGAAGATGCTCATGGCACGCCACGACGTGCTCCTGCCCTTGGGCGCTGACATGGTGATACTCGACCCCAGCGACGGTCCAGATGGGCTGTGCGCGGAGCTCAACCAACAGTGGGCATGGCTTGAAGCAACTGCCCAGCGTGCACAGTGCATGGTCGAAGGTGCTGACGAGAATGCAGAGGCTATGCTGAAGTACCACCACGAGCTGCTTTGGGAGAGCATCCCGAAAGCTATGATGCACGCGTTCCCCATCGGTCGATCATAGTCTTGTGGAAACAGCTACCAGTGTGGGAGATCTCCAGCTGGTGCACAACTTGAACCCAAGGAAGAGCAACGTGTTCCTTGCGCGTCGCAGCGCGACCGAGAAAGTCGCCCTCAAGGTCTACGACAAGTCGAACTATGTAACTGGCGGGGACGTGGAGAACATTTATCGCGAGTTGAGTTTCCTGAGGGACGTTCTCCGACACCCGCACATCGTCCAGTGCACTTCCGTGCTTCATAGCTTCTCGCGGGTGTACTTGGCCCTCGAAGTCGGGGGCAAGAAGAATCTGAGCCAGCACTTAATGGACCAGCCAGGGTACCGCGCCGACTTGCAGGATGCTGTGGACTGCACCGCGCAGATAGCAGAAGCGCTTGCCTTCTGCCATTCACGGGATATCGTGCACAGGCAAGTGTCTCTGGATCACATCATGGTAGATGACCAGTCGGAAACGCCCTTCTGCCGCTTGGTGGACTTCTTCGCGGCGACGTGTTGCGTGGGGTCGACGCCGTCGACCACGGCGTGCGGGGAGCTTCCGTGCATCGCCCCGGAGATGGCGCTGGAGGCGTCGTACGCCGCCAAGCCGGCGGACTGCTGGAGCCTCGGGGTGGTGCTTCTCGAGGCCGCCGGGGGCCTGGGCTCGATGAGGCTGGCGGTCGGCTGGCTGGAGGACACGGAGCTGGAGCCCGCCGCCGCCAGGATCCGGAGGTTCTTCTCCCGCGAGGGCAGCTGCGCCCGTGCGCTGGCGGCCATGGGCGGCGTGCGCAGCCGTGCGGTGCTGGCCAGGCTCTCGGGGCTCCTCGAGCCAGAGCCCGCGGCGCGTGCTAACGCGGACGCCATTTGCAGCTTTTCTGAGTCCTCTTGAAACTCCCTCGGGCCCTCGCGAGGCCCTCTGGGAGCCTTCTTGCGCCCCTATCAGAACTTCCTTGGGCCATCTTGGCCCCTCTTGGAATCGAATGGGGCCGCTATTGGAACCTCCTTTGGCCCTCCCAGACATCCGCCGATGTGATTTCTTCAATCCGCGGCCCCAGAGGTCCCGACCCTTTCCCCTTGGGTCGTTTTTCGTCCCGGATCCAGTTTTGATGGCCCCCGGGCCCGACAACGTGACCTCGAGGCCAAAAAATCCCGGAAAAAACGCTGATTGAAGAAATCATATCCTCGGATCTCCAGGTTCCCTTCGAGCTCACCTTGACGCAGTATTGCGGCCATGTTGGAGTGCTCTGGCGCCCTTCTTGAGGCCGTGTTTTGCGCCGCCACACGGTGCTCCGCTCGAGCTAATGCCCAGAAAAACTTGTTAGATAAACGATGACCCCCCCGCCCGGATCCCGACTGCCATTAATTCGCCGCCGAACAACTATTTTTTATTGTCCCCCCTGGAGAAGAATTCCAAGGGGACCGAACGATGCGATAGATAAATGCACACGTGTATGCCTGTTTACACATATTCTTGTACACGCGCACGCACGCGCATGCATTGGTATATGCGCATGAACTGTATGTGTGCAGATGTGCAGGCTACTTCGGTCGACGAGCAGGTAGTTTTTGTCTTACTGGGGCTCTGTGCGTACGTACGCACGCGGCTGCGCGCGCGTGCGCGCGGTGACGTTCAATTCTCGCGCGCGGTGTGAGGCTGATTGGCCTTATGCTGGCTCCCAGAATCCCAATTTTACAGTTCGTTTTTCTCGCACGGTTTCGGGGGTGGCACGTGTCACCCGTTTTTTTTGTTTGTTGTGTTTGTGAAGTTGTATGTCCGTGTGTTGCATCCCACAACCCCGAATTTACAATTAGTTGTTCTCACTTCGGCGCTGGCTCGTGTTGCCCGTTGACTTTATGAGGTTGAATGGCCTCATGTTGGCCCCCAGACTCTCAGATTTACGAATGGTTGTTTTTTTTTCCCACGCGGTTTCAGAGATGACACATGTCATTGATCCTCTTTGCGAGGCTGAATGGCCTCATGCTGGCCCCCAAAACCCCAAATTTACATGTGTTTTTGCTCACGCGGTTCTGGGGGTGGCGCGTGACGCTCGTTGCTTGTGTGCGCCTGAGTGGATTCTTATACTGACCCGTGAAATCCCAAAAGTCGCATTTTTTCCCGCGCGGTTTCGGGGGAGACACGCGTCAGCCGCTGTGTTTTTTTTGGTGCGAAATAGAATGACCTTATGTTGGCTCCCAGAACCTTACATTTACAAACGGGTCTTTTCGCGCGGTTTCTCTCGCGGGTGACACGCGTCACCCATTGTTTTTGCGAGGTTGAATGGCCTTCTGTTGGCTCCCAGACTTTTCAGATTTACACCATTTTTTCCCACGCGGTTTCGGGGGTGACACGTGTCACCCGTTGTTTTTACAAGGCTAAATGGCCTTATGTTGGCCCCCACAATCCCAAAGTTTACAACTGGTTGTTCTCGCGCGGTTTCGGGGGTGACACGTGTCACCGATTGTTTTTGTGAGGTTGGATGGCCTTATATTGGCTTCCAGGATCTCAACTTTACAGTTGGGTCTTCTCCCACGGTTTCGGGGGTGGCGCGTGTCGTCCGTTGTTTTTGTGGGGCTGCATGGCGTTTTGTTTTTGGCCCCAAATCCCAAATCTACAGTTGTTTTTTCTCACAAGGTTTCAGTGGCGACACTGTCACCCATTGTTTGTGAGAGGCTGGATGGCCTTATGGTAGCTCCCAGGATCCCAGATTCATAAGCTGTTTTTCTCATACAGTTTCGGGGGTGACACGTGTCACCCGTTGATTTTTTTAGGTCCGCGTGGCGTGATGTTGGCTCCCGGAACCCCGAATTTACAAATGGTTTTTCGCGTGCGGTTTTGGGGGTGACACGTGTCACCGATTGTTTTTGTGAGGCTGAATGGCTTCATGTTGGCCCCCAGAATCCAAAATTGACAATTGGTTTGTCCCACGCGGTTTCGGGGGAGACACGTGTCACCGGTTGCTTCTTGCGAGGCTGAATGGGCTTATGTTGGTACCCAGACTGGCAAATTGACCATTGTTCCCAACCATCCTGTGGTGTTGGGTCCTCGTTTTGAAGAGACGGTGCCCGCGTCCTCTCCTCTCCTCCTCTTCCCCCTCCTCCCTCCTCCCCCTCCTTGCCTCTGCTCTCGGCACACCTCTCACGCGTTTCGTAGCCCCATAGGGAGCTCCACCGAAGGCCCCAGTGGGGGTGTCCACATGCGGTTCCCCCACCCAGGGCAGCGTTTCGTGGCCCCATAGGGAGCTCCACCGAAGGCCCCAGTGGGGGTGCATGCGGTTCCCCCACCCAGGGCAGCGTTTCGTGGCCCCATAGGGAGCTCCACCGAAGGCCCCAGTGGGGGTGTTCGCATGCGGTTCCCCCACCCAGGGCAGCGTTTCGTGGCCCCATAGGGAGCTCCACCGAAGGCCCCAGTGGGGGTGTTCACATGCGGTTCCCCCACCCAGGGCAGCGTTTCGTAGCCCCATAGGGAGCTCCACCGAAGGCCCCAGTGGGGGTGTCCGCATGCGGTTCCCCCACCCAGGGCAGCGTTTCGTAGCCCCATAGGGAGCTCCACCGAAGGCCCCAGTGGGGGTGTTCGCATGCGGTTCCCCCACCCAGGGCAGCGTTTCGTGGCCCCATAGGGAGCTCCACCGAAGGCCCCAGTGGGGGTGTCCGCATGCGGTTCCCCCACCCAGGGCAGCGTTTCGTGGCCCCATAGGGAGCTCCACCGAAGGCCCCAGTGGGGGTGTTCGCATGCGGTTCCCCCACCCAGGGCAGCGTTTCGTAGCCCCATAGGGAGCTCCACCGAAGGCCCCAGTGGGGGTGTTCGCATGCGGTTCCCCCACCCAGGGCAGCGTTTCGTGGCCCCATAGGGAGCTCCACCGAAGGCCCCAGTGGGGGTGTTCGCATGCGGTTCCCCCACCCAGGGCAGCGTTTCGTGGCCCCATAGGGAGCTCCACCGAAGGCCCCAGTGGGGGTGTTCGCATGCGGTTCCCCCACCCAGGGCAGCGTTTCGTGGCCCCATAGGGAGCTCCACCGAAGGCCCCAGTGGGGGTGTCCACATGCGGTTCCCCCACCCAGGGCAGCGTTTCGTAGCCCCATAGGGAGCTCCACCGAAGGCCCCAGTGGGGGTGTCCACATGCGGTTCCCCCACCCAGGGCAGCGTTTCGTGGCCCCATAGGGAGCTCCACCGAAGGCCCCAGTGGGGGTGTCCACATGCGGTTCCCCCACCCAGGGCAGCGTTTCGTGGCCCCATAGGGAGCTCCACCGAAGGCCCCAGTGGGGGTGTCCACATGCGGTTCCCCCACCCAGGGCAGCGTTTCGTGGCCCCATAGGGAGCTCCACCGAAGGCCCCAGTGGGGGGTGTTCCACATGCGGCCCCCCCACCCAGGGCAGCGTTTCGTGGCCCCATAGGGAGCTCCACCGAAGGCCCCAGTGGGGGTGCATGCGGTTCCCCCCAGGGAAGCGTTTCGTGGCCCCATAGGGAGCTCCACCGAAGGCCCCAGTGGGGGTGTCCACATGCGGTTCCCCCACCCAGGGCAGCGTTTCGTGGCCCCATAGGGAGCTCCACCGAAGGCCCCAGTGGGGGTGTCACATGCGGTTCCCCCACCCAGGGCAGCGTTTCGTGGCCCCATAGGGAGCTCCACCGAAGGCCCCAGTGGGGGTGTCCACATGCGGTTCCCCCACCCAGGGCAGCGTTTCGTGGCCCCATAGGGAGCTCCACCGAAGGCCCCAGTGGGGGTGTCCACATGCGGTTCCCCCACCCAGGGCAGCGTTTCGTGGCCCCATAGGGAGCTCCACCGAAGGCCCCAGTGGGGGTGTTCGCATGCGGTTCCCCCACCCAGGGCAGCGTTTCGTAGCCCCATAGGGAGCTCCACCGAAGGCCCCAGTGGGGGTGTTCGCATGCGGTTCCCCCACCCAGGGCAGCGTTTCGTGGCCCCATAGGGAGCTCCACCGAAGGCCCCAGTGGGGGTGTTCGCATGCGGTTCCCCCACCCAGGGCAGCGTTTCGTAGCCCCATAGGGAGCTCCACCGAAGGCCCCAGTGGGGGTGTTCGCATGCGGTTCCCCCACCCAGGGCAGCGTTTCGTGGCCCCATAGGGAGCTCCACCGAAGGCCCCAGTGGGGGTGTTCGCATGCGGTTCCCCCACCCAGGGCAGCGTTTCGTGGCCCCATAGGGAGCTCCACCGAAGGCCCCACAGTTCGCATGCGGTTCCCACCGACCGAGGCCCCAGTGGGGGTGTTCGCATGCGGTTCCCCCACCCAGGGCAGCGCTTCGTGGCCCCATAGGGGCTCCACCGAAGCCCCGTGGCTGCTCTCGCATGCGGTTCCCCCACCCAGGGCAGCGTTTCGTGGCCCCATAGGGAGCTCCACCGGAGGCCCCAGTGGCTGCCCTCGCATGCGGTTCCCCCACCCAGGGCAGCGCTTCGTGGCCCCATGGGGAGCTCCACCGAAAGCCCCCGTGGCGCAGTTCGCATGCGCTTCCCCCACCCAGGGCAGCGTTTCGTGGCACCATAGGGAGCTCCACCGAAGGCCCCAGTGGCGCAGTTCGCATGCGGTTCCCCCACCCAGGGCAGCGTTTCGTAGCCCCATAGGGAGCTCCACCGAAGGCCCGCCCCGGTGGCGCAGTCCGCATGCGGTTCCCCCTATCCAAGGCAGCGCTTCGTGGCCCCATATGGAGCCCCACCGAAAGCGGCACCCACAACGCGTTACCAACAATTGCTTATGGTTGGGTCTTTCGCCAGGATAATTTTTTCTCACACGGTTTCGGGGGTGGCGGGCGTCGCCCGTTGTTTTGTGCGGCTGAATGGCCTTATGTTGGCCCCCAGAACCAATAATTAGATTTGTTTGTTCCTCACATGGTTTCGGGGGTGACGCGTGTCACCCGTTGTTTCTTGTCAAGCTGAATGGCTGTA